AACAGAAACAGCAAGCTTCAGACAGCCGGTGCTGTGCTGAGGTGCCTCCCTGAAAACAAGCAGGCAGCAAAATGCCCTCTGCATCGGGCTACACCCCTCTTCCTGCCCTACCCCTTACCCCCTCCCACCCCAAGGTTAGTAGACAATATGTGAATGAAAGTGCCCAGAGTTTTTGCTTTGTTTTTCCAGCCACAAATTGCATCAGTTCAGCCCTGGAGAACATGAATCAAGTCCTATAAAAAAAATACAGCTCTTTACAAGTCAGATTCTGCTCAATGTGTCCTGCCATGTAATAAAGCAGGCTTGCTACATTCACCTGATGCTAACACCCAGGTAAGGGTCATTCATTATTAAGGCAGAGACCCACCCTGCCCCACTTTTGCCAAGGTCAGTAGACCAGTATTTCTCAACCCATACCTTGTGACCCAAAGCTGGGTCGCAAGAATATATGAAAGAGTTGGGAGCAAACTTTAAAAATGGATTCTTCTTTAAAGGAGAAAAACATGTGAAACTGTGGCTTTCCCCTTGCAGGCTGTCATAGCTCCAGCCTCCAAGGGGCTTCCCCTCCCTTTTGTACAGTAGCAAGGAGGTGAGGAGGGGAGGATGCCCCTTCTTCCTGAGCAGTCAAGTGGGGAGAGATCTCACACACATCACTGCTGTGCCAACAGCTTCCAACACACTGCTCAGAGCTGGTTTGTCACTGTGCATGTTGGCGGCTCTCTGCAAGAGCCTCTAAGGATGATTTGGCCTTGGAAGTTGAGCCTATCTTCAGAGGCTCAACTTCCAGGAGGGAGTTAAATTTGTTCAGAGTGCCAACCATTTGGAAAGCAAAGCACATGCACAGTCTTGCTCTACCTGAGCCTTTTCAGGAGCTCAGTCTTACAAGTACAGATGGAGCCAGACAGAGAGCCACCTGTGAGTGCCCAGGGGTCACCATTCAGAGGTGCATTTCTATTTTTCCTTGTAGCCATGGTAGGTAGCCCTTCAGGCTGTCCATAGCCAAGTTAATCTCTCGCTGCTGTGCCTTATAACACTCTCTGTGTTGGCCAGGCCAGTGCTCCAGTGCGAGCGAGGAGCAGGGTCTGTGGCTGAGCCGACATGCACAGACAAGACTGCCTTTGCTCTCTAAGGGGAGAAGGCCCACCAGGCACAGCCAGCAATCAGCTGGCAAAAACATGATCCCTGGGGTGGGGACACCCTGGATGGTTTCCAGTGCAGGTGATAGCATGCCCTGCCCCCTGGCTTTGGCCAGTGCTTGGCCAGGCTCCTAGCCCCCACCATCAAATGACCAGCGTCTATTAATTTTGATGGCGCTGTAACTTTACACGCTTTGTGCTTGACTCCATTGGCCAGTAGATTTTTACATGGAAACTCAAGTTGCCTTTACATTGCTTGAGATTTTGACTCCCTGTTCCCATAAAAACACTGCATGACATGGGACTTGTGTTCTCCAATCTCCTCTTTTGCCCTGTATGTATGTTCTTATTCCCTCCTGCTGGACAGCTGGAGAGTGCAGGGGTGTTTCCAACTAGCTACACGAACTCAGCACATCCTAGGACAGGTGAAATGTGAGAGACGCAAGCTCTGGCTAACTCCTGATGGTTTGCCTAATACATTGAGATGAGTGGATGAGATATGTACAGTCCACCTTTCTACTAAAGGACTGTGCAGAGATGTTAGCCTTAACCATTCCAGATTTTAGCATAAATAGCTTGCGTTTAATTTTTAAGGTGCAGTGATCTTAAAATACTCCTGTCTTGTCATTTTGTTTTTGAAAGGGCCAGAATAGCAGGAGGTGTCACCAGTGCGTACAGACAGCACTTGCAGTGTTGACTTTTTTCCCCACTCACGGTTGTTCAGGGAGTGAGGGGAACCTGGTAGGTTTCTGGCCCCATCCCATGTCCAGTCTGAACATAGCCGTGTTGGAACAAGACCACTTACCTGTCACTGCCAGCAGGTGGTAGCCTTCACCAACCTCAGTCTCATGGGAGTGCGTTGGTGCAGGAACGGGAGACACCTGGGATGGACCTTTCCTCCACAGCCCTGCTGCTCTGTAGAGCACACAGCTGGTCCGGTTTCACGGATGGAGCTCAGGCCTTTGGCTGTAGGGTATGCACATTCAATCCAGGTTCTCTGAGCTTGCACCCTACATTTCAGAGCTTGTCCTGGCAGACACCACCAAATGCCGACTGTCTTTTCATTTTGATCATGCTGTACCTTTAAGTGCTTTCTGTAAAGCACAATCAGAAGTTCCCTTTAATCCCTTGTGTTAGCACCACTAGTGCCCTTCACTCCACCATAAGGCTTTTACATCGGTGGCTTACTTTCGTCAGCAGCGTCTTAAAGCAGAGAACCATATTGTGCAGACTTGGCGTGTCCGACGCCGCACCCGCCTCTTCACACGTCTCACCCAAAGCTTTCTCAATCACTACGAGTCACTCCCCTCGGCCTGTACATGCCTGATACGCCTGCCACGACTTTGATGTTATTCCAGTTCAGTAATCTTACTCCGGCGTGTGTCAGTCCAAAAGTGAGACTCCGGGACTCTTGGGGTCCCTAGTCAGTGAGGGCTCCGCCACCCCTACACCCTCGCCCGTACCACCGGGTCGGTTGTTTTCTCGGGTTAGCGGATCCGTCAGTAGGTCGCTCCCCTTCCACTAGGAGATGTCTGTTCTATGCCATCAATTTCCCCAGCCAGGGGTTATTTGGAGCAATGGGCTACCCTGCCCTCTGTGCCCCCTTGATATTACCCCGGCTGCTAAGTGCTCGAGCACTCCTCCGTAGAACCCTCTCGGGGCTCCTTAGTCCTTTCCCTGGCTTCTTGCCAACTTTCAGTCCTCCTAAACACTGGCCAGCCTCCTCTTCTGTAGAGAGTGCCCCTCTGCAATCTATACGGCTTCCAGCTCCTGCCGGGTCCAGCCGTTCTCAGCTGCGTCGTACAGCCCGGGTCTTCTCTGGGACCCGTCGACCCAGCTTCCCCGCCCTGTGGGGGCTTTGCCTTACCCCACCAGGTCCGACAGTGCCTCCGGACTGTTCCGCTCTGCTTGCCGGTGCTCCCTCTCATTGCTGCGGCCTCCCGGCTACCTTCCGGCTCCGCCTCTTCCCTTCCCGACGCCGGCGTCCTTCTTACGTTGGTCCTTGCTGTCCGGGCCACGCCTCCTTCCCCACACCTGAAGACAGTAAGGGGTTGCCCCGCGTTCCGGGCATGCGGGAGGGAGTTCAGCGCTGCTGCACCGGGGCGGGAAGCCTCAGATCCGGCCCGCCTCTTCACTCCCTCACACATATGCTCTAAATATTTCCATCTGGGCTAAGCACAGACAGGAAAAACCCTAAGGCTGAATCAGTCCAATCTTCACAGGTTAATCTAAGCTGCAACAATTGAACCAATAAGCAAGTGCACAGACATTCACTTTTGAGCCACATCCCTGCAGTGGCCCAGACCAGAAGCCAGTGGGTGCTAGAGCATGCCTCCCTACTCTGTGGTAGCAGATAGCTTGGGCTAAGGCTAGCCTGCCCACCCTGCAAGAGGGGCTTGCAGGAGATATGCAAAGCATCCTTGGATGCTGGAGGACTGTGTGTTAACTTGCATCTGGAGGGTATCTGGGGCAGAAGTTCAATAAACTGATTTAACCTAAATCAATTACATCTGACAGTACATCCATACAGGTTTATTTTAAAATGGTTTTGGCCATCTTGAAAGTGGTTTATATGCACTGAAATTACAAATTTGAACCGGTTTCCAATCACTTATACCAGTTTGTGTGTCATATTTGTCCCTAGCTCTTCTCTTAGGGCCTAAACTGAGTTACATCTTGCTTTCCTTTAAAGGCTATTGAAAAACACTGCTGCCACCACAAACAGCGTATTCCTCTTTTTATGCCTGTTCTGATTTGCTAAAGTGAATGTTGACTGGTGCTTTGAGCCAGCAAAAGTAAGCATCTGCTGTGGTAGCAAGAGCGAGGGCACTGAAGACTGGCTTTTACAGACTATGACAAGACCATTATGTTCATGATCATTAAACAGTGAATAGTTGAAGGCTGCTGGCTTTGTAAAACCTACTACAACACAAGAGATGCCCTGTAGCCCCAGCAATGATGTCTAGGAGTGTATTTATTTTCAACTAAGCTATCATTAAAGCAGACATTCTCTAACTTGGTACAGCCTCCTATCTTACCAAAATTAATTGATTTACTTGCAAAGAAAGTGCCATTTGATTCATTTGGGCTGTAGAGAGGTACTTAGCTATGTTAGGGCATGTCTACACGGAACAATGATGCCATATACATGTGAGGAAAATCCCCCTTTGTGTAGCTTAATGGTATCATACTTTACACATATGCAAGTGTGGTTGGGCCCCTTTTTTACAGCTCAACCAGTGCCATATACCCTCTTAGGGAGTAGGCTGCGTTCTTAGGATGCTTGCCCACAATGACTTAATGGTATTAATGTAAAATTCAATCCCAGAGAAGAAAACAGGCTCTTCCATCAGGGCTGTCTTCCTATTAGTCCAGGGCTGGACCGTAGCTGTGCTGGCCACTGCACTGCCCCAAGTGTCCCTGCCACCTGTCCCTTCTCTTTTGGGTTGCTCGCACCTCAGCCTGCGGGAACTTCTGCGCTAAGGGACTTATCTCCCTCATGCTCGTGAACTTACCTCGGGGCTTCCTGGATATACTGTATTGGGACCGGCTCTCCAGCTGCCCAATGCCAGCTGCTACTGGTGCTCATCTCATCGCTATCAAGTCAGCTCACCTCCCAGACTCTGAGGGAAGGGGGGCAAGGGGGGATTTCCTCCCCGCACTTCCATTGCTCTCCTACAGTGAGGTTTGGGTGTCTCAAATTATTCCACATCATGACAAACTAAACCGCATCCTGGTGTACTTTAGTTTGACACACAACAATTGCACCATTGCAACCAATAATCTGGCATGTATACATAGTAATTCAATGAATTACATGTATTGAGACCGTGTGTCCACTGGGTGTTGCTACTTTTTTTTAGGTATTTGCAGCTAATTTGCAGGTATTTGTAAGTAATGAATGTTTTAGCACACCGGGTGTAGCTGCAGGGCCTAACATGGATCGATCTTCTGCTGACCTCTTTTTCTTAGTTCATTAAAGAAATATTTCAAACAAGGTGTTTTGTATTAGTTGTCTCCAGTTTCACTGTACTGACAGCAAGGGTGTGTTGAGGAGGGTGAAGATCAGGGTGGCTGAACTATGCTAGGCATCCAGGAGC